GTCCGCTCTGGGTCTGGCAAAAAGAAATGACAGTTTTATCAGCCTTATTTGTCGTACAAATACAGGGAAAATGGAGAGATAGACGTATTGCTATTTTGGCTACATGCCCTGTTCGTGTCGGTAAGGGGCATGTAGCCGAAATATCAATCCATCTTTTTCTCCATCTTCATGGCTGCTCCATCAAGGATAAGGCTATTTATACTGTCGTATTGACATTCGCAATGTTTCGTAACGAATGCACTCAACAACTCACGTAATCTCGCAAAATGTTTTATTGGCATGATACCTGAATTTTCAAAAACGCCTTGCGCGTGTTTGCGGTGCCGTCGCCGAGTTAACGACGCAAACGCTCGTCCCATGCCCTTCTGCCTAGTTGTAAAGTTAATCAAACGCACCACTTCCGTGTAATATTTGCAAAATGAGGTGCGCGTGATAAATATTTTACAGCAATACATTTCGTGAAAGAAACTGCAACATATGATAAGTCGTAGCAAATGCACGTTGCAAAATCGTCTTGCAGGGTCGCAGCTGATCGTCAGCTGTTACGGACCGGACCTTTTCGGCAATGACGTCATTCGTGGCTACGGCGTGTGTCACGTGCCGGTCTGCTCGGGCAGCCACCGGGTCAGGTGAGGACCGCCGCCGGCCGCGACCGCGCCGTCCTACTCACCGCTCGCCGAGGGTCTCCACCTGCTCACGCGATGCGCGCGCGCCCAACCATTCTGAGGTGTCGTTTATGTACGATTTGGAATTTGCACTTGGAGCGGGCAGTCTTGCATTTCGAGGTGGTGATTTCATTATTTGTGTTGTTTACATAAATTTAACGTAGCGGGGAATTTCTGAGTAGTCGCGACTTGTCTCTCTTTCGTTGGGAACTACCTGGTTGGCTGTCAGTCGTTGATGATTGGTATTCCATGACGCTTTGCCTGCTAAGCCTGTTTAGCGCCGACACTGGGCGTCGACTGTAACCTCGTAGATCCGGCCTGCTCCGCGCGTGACGCTCCGGCCGGGAGCCATGTGGCGTCTGTTGCGCCGAAGGTGGCCGTGTGAACGGTGCTGGTGTGTTTCTGGGGCAGCGGTGCAGCCAACGGCGGCCACAGCCCCGGCCATCGCTGCGGCAGGTGTCTGGTTACACAGCGCTCGTGTACGCTGGGTGGACACGCAACAACTAGGCTACGCGATTACTATGTGTGCCCATGGGAGCAGGTAGAGTCAAATGGTCTTCTTGTGCGCCTTTGGGTGGTCGTGCTGCGTTACCCAGTCGTTGTGCACACACGGAGGAGCGGTATTCTGTGTTCAGGGTATCCTCGGGTGGCCGTGTCCAGTTACCCATTGACCGCGTGTGTTTACCCAGGATGGCCGTGTTTTATGTTCAGGGTGTTGTCGGGGGCCGTGTCCAGTGACCCACTGACTGCGTGCTTACTCAGGATGGCCGTGTTTTATGTTCCGGTTGTTCTCGGCGGGCCGCGCCCAATGACCCACTGACTGCGTGCTTACCCAGGATGGCCGTGTTTTATGTTCCGGGTGTTCTCGGGGGGGTCGTGTCCAGTGACCCCTGACCGCGTGTTTACCCCCAGGATTGCCGTGTTTTATGTTCCGGGTGTTTCTCGGGGGCCGTGTCCAGTTGACCCACTGACTGCGTGTTTACCCAGGAGGCCGTGTTCGTACCGGAGTAGACTTCACAGCTGCAGAATCTGGCTTCCTGGTTCACGGGCCCGCCGACCGGAGCTGGCCGAACCCGGTCACACTGGCGCTCGGCGAGGGCAGGGAGGGTGAGATGACCCGGTCAACGCTGGCGGCAGCTCGGCAGGGCAGGGAGGGTGAGATGACCTCGGTCACGGCTGGCCGCTCGGCGAGGGCAGGGAGGGTGAGATGACCCGGGTCACGGCTGGCGCTCGGCGAGGGCTAGGGACGGGTGGAGATGACCCGGTCACGCTGGCTCTCGGCGAGGGCAGGGAGGGTGAGGTGACCCGGTCACGCTGGCTCTCAGCGAGGGCAGGGAGGGTGAGATGACCCGGTCACACTGGTGCTCGGCGAGGGCAAGAAGGGTGAAGTGAAGTGCGTAAACGTGCGTTTCACCTGTCGCAAAAGAGTCCTGCTTTCGAATTCTGAGGACTTTTCGGTTGGGACTCCCATTTTCAGTGTTTTTTTTAGGAGCCATACGGGCGCCTTAAGCTGCAAAAATACAGTGGCCTTCGGCATCAGGCGGACACGCCATCTCCATAAGGAGGGGGGGGGGGGGGCATGACCCCACTGGCCTCCTTTCAGCTACGCCACTGGCTGTGCGAGAGAGGCCCAAAGCATCGAATTTTGATCGGTGTTAGTCCTTGATTGTTCCGCTTGCTTGTTTGGTTGAATTTTGAAATTTTGAAATCACCCATATCTAGTTAGAGTGAGGCAAACAAGACGCAGAATGTGTTGCGACTGACATGCTTGTTAAAACGCGATTACGACGCATCACAGCATTATCATGGACCCTGTGTTCGTCGATTCTCCCTTGCTTGGTGGGTAAGTATGTGGCGACTGGCTTTAGGCTTCCACGTCTTCAGTGATGAGTTTTATGGTCGCTACACGCAGCTCTCAGCCATTGTTGAGATTTTTAGATAAACTAAAGCCACATCTCGAGACGTGGCAAGGTTATGACTTATGACCTACTAAGATTCAGTGCGAACCAAACAAGCGTCAATCGTGCGAAATTGGCATTCTGAACGCGCTCGTTCCCGTCCAGCCCGTCTTACTGTCGGGGCCTGCACCAGTAGCAGTGTCGGCGTCCCAGCACATGGCGCCGCTCCCTCCCCTCCTCCCGCCGTGACCCCCGCCAGTGACGCGCCGGCGCCCCCGCTGACCGGGCGTCCCCTGCGGCAGTGATGCGGGTCCGGTCGCAGGGCGTGCTCACCTGCCGGCTGCAGGTGCTCACCAAGGACCTGCGGCGGCTGGGCTATGTCAGCGGGCGTCAGCCGGAGACGGACGGCGCCGAGGCGCGCGGCGCGGCGGCGGCGGCCGGCGTCGGGCACGCCGCCCTGGTCCAGTGACACCCCGGACGCGGTCGGTGACGCCACAGGGCGCAGGGGCGTCTGCAGTGGCCGGCGGCCGCGGCGCCCGGCGACGGCGCCTTGGAGTGACCGGCTTGTGACATCACTTGTGGCTTCGCCGGTGATGGGCGGGCCGCGGTGGACGACGGGCGCTCGCGTGGTTCGGATCGGTTTCAGCTCAGTCTTGCGTGGTGATGTGTAACCGCGATCAGAGTTTCCCGCAGACATGCTGGCTCATCTTTGGGCGCCGTCAGAGGCACGTGCCAGTATCGTGGTGTCACCGGCCGCGGTCGTCCTGCGGGTGTCGCGGCAAAGCTGATTTCTCAATGGGCGCGACTCGAGAACGTCCGCCATTGGTCGCCCTTCTTCGCTCGGTTCATCGACGTGGGACGTTGCCAGTCGCGGTGACAATGAGAAGACATATTGTGAGATGGGGGCGGGGGGGGGGGGGCAGTCCGTTGTGTCTGTTTCAACGCCCAGGATCGCTGCGTCAGAGCCCTGTGCTCTGTGCTCTGTGTTCCGTGTTTAGTCTCAACGCTCCCACAGTGGAACGGTCGGTAGTGTCGTGGTATTGGCTGCATCCGTCCAAAGTTGTGTACAAACGGACCTCGCTTCTCTGCGTGCGAATCGTGTGATTTAGCCGTCCAGATCAATCATATCATTTTCATCGATCAAGTCTACTCTTTGTCTAGTCGTAAGTGTGGCATGCGTTTTTTAAATCATGCGTAGATGTGACCGTTTGACGATCTCAAACTTGCATATGGCTTTATGAGTGGCGCGTTTAGAAATAAAACCAGTGCAGAGATCATTCTGTAGACTCTTCCTGGTGAGACGGCACGTGCTGCTCTGCCTCTACAGATCAGTTGGTTTAGAGTCGAACGTAGACCGATCCGTGGCAGGCGTGGGAGATAGCAACTCGAAATCGCCCATTGGCTCGCGTCACTTCCGGCCAATTGGAACCTGGCCAAGAGAGGAGCCGGGATGGAAGGGGCTTGCCGTAGCACGGCATTGTATGGCGCGTTGAAATGTTTCAGTACGAATTATGCATTCCACGGGAAATTCCATGCTTTGTTGGTTGCGTCAGGGTCGTCGGAGCTGATGTTTTGGCGAAGACGTCTATCACATTCATTCCTGCAGAACTTTCGGTCAGCATTGTGAAAACATGTTTGGAACGCACGTTAGCATGTCGATATATTCTCGGATATGAAAGTGTCCGTGAAGTTCGTTGTTCCCAAGGTCTGATTTTGGGACAAGCGTCCATGCCATACGGCTCCTGCAGTTAGTGAGCGCCAATTCAAGCGCGTGAATGGCCTATTGCTCGGTGCCACCTGCCACGTTCTCCGTGTTAGAACTCCTCACGCAGCTCGACACACATGGATTATGGAGTAGTATCAGTTCCGGTTATTGAATCGATTCAAGCGTGGAGCGGTTACATCGACGGCAGCAGTCCGCACATATAACTGATGCAATCTCTAAACTATCCTGTAGCCGGGGCGCCACGGTTGCAGGTCGACCGGGCGCCTCTGCACGTCAGTCATAAACAAACGGATAACTGTAAGCGGTGCAGTAGGCCGGATTGGCGCAGCGGTCGAATATCGTGCGGTCAAGTACCGAAGCGAGCAGGAAAGGCCCGAGCAGACAGCTTCCAGGTGGCTGTCGCCGCTTGGGGCGCGGAGTTCGCTCGTCCCCGGGCCGCTCCTGGGTCGGGGCGCAGCGTCATGCCTGGTCTCCCGCCGCCCCACAGTCCTCGGTCCCTGACAGCTGGCGCCCCCTGCCCGTCAGGGGCTCGGCTCGTTCCTGGCGCAGCTGGCCCAAGGGCGGCCTGTCCTCTGCCGTCCTGAACTGGCGACTGAACTGAAGGACTGAAGATACACGCCTTCTAATACTAGTGGTGCTGAACTTCTGAAGCCCAGTCAACCAATATCGTCCACGATCTGCCTAAATTTCGATAGTCTTTTCGGTCGCCGTAAGATATAGCACGCGTATTTTCTGCCCTGCTCGTCACAACGCAGTATCTATGATAATTGTTCATCGCTATCCCCGAGCTCTGTCGAGAGAGGACTCCTCCCACCCTCACCAGCCCCTCTCGAGCGTATAGCCTCCTCCCGCCCTCTCTCCGCCTCACGGTCCGACACTGCTCACCACTCTACCCCGAGCCCGTCGCCGCTCTCCGGACCCTCCCACTTGAGCGCCTGCCGCAGCAGGCGTCGGCCGCGTTGGGTGGCCAGCAGGCGGCGCCACGTGTGCACCTCGGCCGGTGTTAGCGCCACCAGGCGGCGCACGAGCGGACCCAGGCGCTCGCGCAGGTAGGCGTCCAGCCGGTGACACTGGGCGGCCGAGTCGCAGTTGAGGTAGGAGCCCCACATGACGGCGCCGGGCAGACCACGGGTGCGCACCTGGCCCAGCATGGACAGCAGGTCGTCCTGCGACCGTGCCAGGGGCGCATTCAGGTAGGCGGTGAGGGTGGGGTAGGGGCACACAGGCTGGCCGTGAGGGTGGAGCAGGGGCGCTCTCAGGCTGGCTGTGAGGGTGGGGCAGGGGCGCTCTCGGGCTGGCTGTGAGGGTGGGATAGGGGCGCTCTCGGGCTGGCTGGGAGGGTGAGGCAGGGGCGCTCTCGGGCTGGCTGTGAGGGTGGGGCAAGGGCGCTCTCGGGCTGGCTGTGAGGGTGGGGCAGGGGCCCTCTCAGGCTGGCGGGGAGGGCGGGCAGGGGCGCTCTTGGGCTGGCTGTTTTAATGGTGGGGCAAGGGCTCTCTCGGGCTGGCTGTGAGGGTGGGGCAGGGGCGCTCTCAGGCTGACGGGGAGGTGGGGCAGGGGTGCTCTCAGACCGGCGGGGAGGGTGGGGCAGGGGCGCTCTCAGGCTGGCGGGGAGGGTGGGGCAGGGGCACTCCCAGGATTCCGGGGAGGGTGGGGCAGGGGTGCTCTCAGACCGGCGGGGAGGGTGGGGCATGGGCGCTCCTGGCGGGAGGGTGGGGCAGGGGCACTCTCAGGCTAGCGGGGAGGGTGCGACAAGTCCAGTACCAGCCTCCCTGGCGCTACCACCAACGCCATCATCTAAACTGCGCCACTGAACGCCGCAGCATTTTCACCCAAGCTCAGCGGGTATAACAGAGAGTGTGCTCACAAGCATTGTCGCGGCATCCCAGCCAATCTTTCACTTACGCGTACATGCTGGCCAGCGAGACGTTTTGAGTAAAATCTTCTCATCTGCCTAACAACGCAGCCCCAAGTGCACCTCCCGCCTACAAACCAAACCGGCGCCGGCTTACCTCAGACAGAAAACTGGGATCGTCCTGGTACCGGAACCAGGTGTACGTGTAGACGGGGACCTCGGCTGCTAGCCGCAGGGCCTCGTCCAGGCGGCCCCTCACCGTGGCGCGCCGGTCAGCGTCCGTAAACCCGTTCCGGAACAGGTACACGGACGGGTACAGGGCGCTGCTGGAGCTCAGGAGCCACGACAGCCTGCAGCGGACGGCAGGAGCAATGGCAATAATCCACTTCCGATGCAAAGGCTGGGGGTGGGCACGCGGTTGCCATGAGAACGTGCTTACACGAATGGGTACTGACACAAACGTGGGCGGAAGTGTACAAGACGCAGCTGGTACCCAGCAGCGATGACGGCACGTAGAGTACACGATTGTACCGGGCGGGTATAACGGGCCGGCACAGGGACAGGAGCATGCAGCAGTCGCGACAACCATCAGCAGACGGACCACAAGGGGATGGGTTGTCACCGAGCGGTGACCAGCAGCACTACTACTGCCCGGCTCGGCCGCGAAATGGCAGCACTGACCGGTCGTTTTTGTCGCGCCATGACTGCGGACAGGTGCCGTTGGGGATGTGCAGGTTCCCGCAGAGCGGATACTGGTAGTAGCCCCAGGCGGCGGCCGGCCGGGCACGCTCGGCCGCCTCCAGCGTCCGCTGAAGGAACAGGCGAGCCCACCACTCAAAGTCCTCCCGAGCCTGCCGGAACCGGTCACCGGTTAAAGTCCTCCCGAGCCTGCCGGCACCGGTCACGCGTTAAAGTCCTCCCAAGCCTGCCGGCACGGTTACGGGTCAAAGTCCTCCTGAGCCTGCCGGCACCGGTCACCGGTCAAAGTCCTCCCGAGCCTGCTGGCACCGGTCACGGGTCAAAGTCCTCCCGAGCCTGCCGGCACCGGTCACCGGTCAAAGTCATCCCGAATCTGATAACACGGGGCACGGATGCAAGTCCTCCCGCGTCTGAAAAGACAGATCACGAATGAAAGTCCCCGCAGGTCTGATAACACGGACTATGGATCAAATTTCTCCCGGGTCTGAGGTTAGGGGCCGGGGAGCAAAGTCCTCCCGAGTAAGTGGAGAGACCAACACCAACACCAACATATCACCAAGCAGTTTTCCGGAGCCTCTCATCTCAGCGTCCTCGCCACGGTCCTCCTAAGCTGCGGGAGAAAGGGGTCACGACCGAAGCTCACCTGGAGTCCGGAGAACACTTCCCGAAGTCTTTTAAGACCTCAAAACCAGGCTGCTGCTCAAATCATTCCTCAGTCTGGGAGACAGACCACAGGTCCAAGCGCTCCCGGGCTTGACCGAGTGTTCGCGGGTGTTGGTATCGAGGGCGGGGGGGGGGGGGGGCGCTTCACCGGCCGGCTCATCCGCGTAACCCGTTGAATCACCCGCACGTCTGTGCTAGCGTGGCTGGCCTGCCCAGTGACCCGCCCCCCCCCCCCCCGTCCGCGTGCGTCTGACCTGTTCGGCGACGCGGGTGTCCGTCCACTGCGGGTGCTGCCGCCGCACCAGCTGTAGCGCCGCCTGCTTGAGTGGACTCGCCAGCGCGGCGAACCAGGGCGTCCAGCCCTCGAAGTCGATCACCCCCACGCCTGGTGTGGGGGAGGGGATCACTCCCACGCCCGTCATGCTGGGCTCAGCGTCAGCTCTCGAGGTGTGAGCTTTGGGGATGGAACATTCAGTGCATTGGAGTGGCTCAACAATGTTTTCTGAACGTGAATACAGGCCTGTGGTGTGTTGTGTTTATGCACTCGGCTCAGACACCACACGCCCCTTTCCCAAGTACACGTTGATTTCCAGGAAGGTCCACACCAGACGCCACCAGGCTCCTGAATCATGTCACGGTAGTATGTTGAAATCATACGAGGCGGAAGCTACGTTGGTGAGTGTTCCGTATCAAACAAGTGGTTCTGTCTCACATAATCTGACAGGTAGGTATAGTTAGCCACGCATCCAAATTCGGGTCTATATTGATATACGCCGAAAACACGGTCACGCACATCTCACCCATTAATGCATGGAATTCAAACGTGAAAATGGCTACGTGCTCGCCACGCCATCAAGTACATACAACTTGAGCAGCCTGACCTCTAAAGGTCGTCGTACAGCCTCCAGGCAATCGTAGCTAAAAAGTGTCCCACAGTTCTCCGTCCGCAAGATATCGGAGCCAAATCTGACAACAGTGCTCAGTGACATCAGACAACGTACTCGCCACGTCATCAGGTGTTTGCCCTCAGTTGGCCTAACCTCCAGTGAAGTAATGCGTGACCGCGTTTTCTCTCTGATTGCCTGGACGCTATACGGTGACCTTTAAAGGTCAGATCACGAAAGCTGTATAAACGTGACGTCACTGCCACCCCGTAAGCGTTGTCATATTTGGATCCAATGCGTTATTGACGGAGTACTGCGTGACTACGTTTTTAACCTATTATTGCCCGGAGGCTATACCATGACATTTGAAGGTCATGCTGCCAATTGTTCGTACACTCGACGTCATGTTGAGCACGTGCGTATTTTCAGATTTTGATCCCATGCAATAAGGACCGAACTGTGCTTGCCCCCAATGTTGGTGTGTACGAATAAATATTCGAATATGAATACGTTGTAAATTGTAGCCCCCCCTTCAATATGCCACAATAAGTCTCTTCAGTGTTCGGGATACAGGCTGATTAGCACGATGTACTAAGTCCTCCAAATTGTGCTTTTCGCAAAAAAATATTGTTTGATGTCTCCCGCGCGCTAAAGCATGTCAGATCACCTTGCATGCAAACCGACTGGGCCCAAAACGAAAACGGAGAGAGACCGCAAGTGCGAGAGAGAGAGAGAGAGAGAGAGAGAGAGAGAGAGAGAGAGAGAGAGAGAGAGAGAGAGAGAGAGAGAGATAGAGAGAGAGAGAGAGAGAGAGAGAGAGAGAGAGAGAGAGAGAGAGAGAGAGAGAGAGAGAGAGAGAGAGAGAGAGAGAGAGAGAGAGAGAGAGAGACCACGAGGAGAAGGACCACAACTCACCGCTGAAGTTGACGTCTGGCACGGATCGTTCCAGGTCCTCCTGGAACCGCTTCAGGTGGACGTCCAGCGACCCCACCTGCGGCAGGCCGCCATTCACTTCCGTGCCGTTCTTCAGAATATTCGGAAACAAACCTGCCGGAGGACAAACGGCGCGCGTTAGGATCGCGGGGAACGGAGAAAATCGTCAGCCGAGTGACGATTTCAGGAGGAAGTGGAAAAATGGCGTAGTGCGTGTGACAATATGAACTCCGGGCGATTCGACATCATCTGCAAAGCCCATATGTCATGCTGAATAGTCTTGCAATCCTAGTGCAAGTCGTCGATTGGTTCTTTACATCCAGTCAACCGACAGGAAATCCGCATGTCCATCCGACGGTCCGCTTCAAGCACAGCAAACGCGTGATTCGCCAGGGGAGAACAGCGCGCTGTGCATGCTCGGCCCGCTGTCTGTCGTACATCACCTGGAGAGTAGAGCAGAACGATCTGCTCCCCAGCGAACTTCTCGCCGGCGTTCACCGTGAAGCCGTACTGTCCGGGATTGAGGTCGACGCCGAAAGACTGGGTACACGGGGCTGACGGCACGTTCCAGAACACTCGGAACGGCTCGGCGGCCGGCGCCGGCCCGTCCCCCGGCCGCCCGTCTCCCGTCAGTTGACCCGCTGACGCCTGGGTCTCCGACTCAAGGCTGCCCATCAGCTGACTCTCCGTCAGCTGGTTCTCCGTCAGCTGGCTCTCCGTCAGCTGACTCTCCGTTAGGTGGCTCTCCGTCAGCTGATTCTCTGTCAGATCAGCGCTCGACAGCTGACCCGCTGCAAGCTGCTGCAGAGTCAGGTGATTCGCTGACGCCTGGCTCTCCGACTCCAGGCTGCTCGCCAGCTGACTCTCCATCAGCTGACCCTCCGTCAGCTGACCTCAGTCAGATCAGTGCTCGACAGCTGACCCGCTGCAAGTTGCGCCAGAGTCAGTGGTCCTGTCGCCAGCAACGCCGGCTCCGGGAGCACCACCTGAACGAGGGTCAGGACGGCCAGCAGGCGGGGAGTCATGGCGGACAGCTGCGACTCAGAGGCAGACGGCGGCTGCGCGGACGCGGGTACACAGCGCAGCGGGCGCCGGTGCCTACTGAGGGGCCGGTCACTGGCTTAACGGGATCCAGCAGACTCCAAGGTGCACGATCGCAACTGCTGGGGTTACCCGCTGCTTGACAACCAGGGCCGTCCCGACACACGGGTCCTCGGAGGCGTCCTTCCGGCTGAAACGGTCCTGTCGAACGTCAGCAGTGACCGAAGCCAGCGGTTTTCACTGTTCTGCGGTGCTCCGCGCCCAGCACCACCGAGTTCTGGACGGCGTGGCCAGCGCAGCACCGCCGCTCACCAGCTCAGCACCAGCGCCTGCAGACCGTGCCCGCAGGTCGGCACCAGCCTGCGCCTCGCGCCCCGAGCCTCCGCCGCTGACCACGTCGCGCGGCAGCAGACCGCACGCGCTCACCCTAGTCGCCCCGCGCTCTCTGCCGTCGCCCTCCGTCGGCCCGGCCTCAGCCGACTCCGGTCGTAAAGCGGGCCGCGCAGCCGCCGGCACCGCGCCGGCGCCATTTTTGCAGGGACCAGAGAAGGCGGGCACATGACGCGCACCCATTTGACGAGCGCGAGCGCCGGACAAAAAGACTCGCTCGACACGCTTCGAACCGGCGAACTGTCGACCGTTTTTCCGGAACCGTCCCCGCCCGTTTTTCCGGGCGGGGACCGTTCCACCCGCGTCAGCTACCGGACCTCATCACGTACCGTTAGCCAAGGATGCTAGAGCGGCCATCGCCCCTGCCGTGGGCCGCGAGTCGAGGGCTGGCCGCGTTCTGCGAAGCGACAGGAGCTGCCACGCCGCCGTTGCGGTGGATGGCCGGCGAAAACGCGCCACCTTCCCCTGCGCTGCTGGGCACGACACCCAGCCGGCGACAGTGGGGGAGTCCTTCATATTGTCCAAAGTACAGAATGTCCAAAGGTACAGAATGTCCAAAGTACAGAATGTCCAAGGTACAGAATGTCCAAAGTTTATAATGTCCAAGGTACACAATGTCCAAGATGAGAAATAGCTTCTAAAATGGCGCAGGGTGGAAGGAGTCCGTTTCATAATGCCCAATGTACAGAGTGTCCAAGGTACAGAATGTCCAAAGTACAGAATGTCCAATGTACGTATTGTCCAAGGTATAGAATGTTCAAGGGCCAGAGCTTCTAAAATAGTTCTTGGAACGGCCGCCAGGGTGTGAATAATCGGCCTTATTGGTGGGCAGCGTTGCTCCGCCCCCCGTCGGCCGAGAGCGTACAGTCGACGTCAGTGCCAACACTACAAGCATGCGGTCGGGGGGAGGGGGGAGTCGCATAGCAACGGATTCATTTCCCACGCTGGTGCTGCGATGGTGTCGGATGCTGTTGGTCGGCGAGGCCGCGCTCGACTTGCAAGTGATCGTTGAGTGCCAGACGAGTACCGTGGAATGGGGCGTTGGACACGCGCGGAGCTGCTGTGAAAGCGTCGCAGCGTTGCCCTTAGCCGGCGTGGAACTTGTTCTGTGTTTGACCGGGGGGCGTGTTCGCTGATTGGTCATAGCTTTATGAAACTAGACGCTCTTGTTGCAACTACTTTGGATTTTTAGTGATCGCTGTCACGTTTTCACCACAACTAGCCTACAGCGTCCAAAGGAGTAAACCTTGCAAGAGAGGGGAAAGTATGGGTATCAATAATTTATGCTTCCTATCGGGTTAATAGCCTGTTTCTTATCATGTATCCCTGAGATTTGGGCAGAGATGTAACATATTTCAAAGCACACTACATTAAAACTCATAGTAAATGGTTCAATGAATGGCCATTTGCGGTCAAGATACTGCACGTGATGCCATTTAGAACAATTTGCCGGTGCATCAACAGATTGGTGGAGACTTTTCATTGATGTGGATTCCCCACGTCAATTTATTGGGTCTGTCAGGGGCGGCGCCAGGAGATATAAGTTGAGGAGAGGCTTTTCCAGCGGACTTCTTGAACAACATGAGGTCTCCTTTCAGAGGGGGGGGGGGGCACACCGTCACATGTGGGCTGGGCAGCACTCACTAACTGATTGAGCTATGGCGGCGTTTCTGCTACTAAAGTCACACAAGTCCAATAGGACGCACTGATTAACAAGTCATGGCATCCTGCTGGGCTGAGAGGTGGCTGTGCTTAGTTTCATGTATCTAGGAAGTCAGTCTGTAAAATGGCCGAAATCGAGGACAACTTCGGTTTTTTAAATATGCTCGCCCTACAAGGGAAGTCGGTGACACTGCCTCTGTTCATCGCCTGAGAGCAAACCCAGAAATCTATCACTCGTTAAAAGAAAAAGGCAATGCTTACACGTGTGCTAACCGTTGATGCTTAAAACAGTACCGTAACACACACACACACACGCGCACACACACGCACGCACGCACGCACGATTTTTTCTCACAATTTTGACATCTATGCCAAAACACAGGTACGTCAGTATACCGGGAGACCTGTGACTGCGCCAAGATTCTTTGCCAATATTTCCAAAATATTATGACAAATCAACAGTTCCAGGTAGTGCACGTGGTCACCTGTGAATAAGTCAACACATAACGCGCAGTTCAAAAGGCCTGTGAATGACCGTAGCTGTTGTAAATATGTGCAGATCCTGACAAGAAAAGTATCAAAATAATCAAGCATGCAAGCTTCCATGTCCTAATGCAAGGCACACGGCACTATGATAAGGCTTGCACGAGACATCAATGGCTAGGCCGGAGGGTTTCGATGGACTGTATCACAGATCAGAAGGCAATTCGCTACAGGAAATCAGTGTCAAAATAAATCAGCAGACAAGTATTGCTGAACGTACCTTATCTGAACAACAGCGCTAACAATCAGTATTTCGCATGGTGCTTGCGAGTCTATCCTCTGTCAACGTTTACCGACACGTAGCGATTCTTATATCCTTGGTCCGCATTGTCTTATGCCGTTGCTGAAATGTGCACTTAAAAGTTTAAGAATGTTATAATGTGTGCCATTGGTGCATGTATGTCGACTACTTCCTCCCCCAATTGTGCGTGTACGCTCTCCGTAGATATGTGTTCCCAGGTGTTCATTAAACGGGCCCGAGTGTCATGCATTATTCTTCTCACATACAAGTTCACTGGAAAAAGATTATAAGACATTTTGTGTACATCCTGTGCGTACAGAACCATATACCATGTATTGTGTATTCTGCTCTATTCTCTGCATTTTACTTTCGGTCCATTGAGACCATCGGTGTAGGAACAGGGGGCCAGGGGACCATGGACCCCCCACTTTTCAAGGTGGGGGGCTTGCAATGTCAACTGCCCACCCCCCCCCCCCCCTCCCTCCAGTTTTCAGATTAAGGTTGCATTTGGCTTACTTTTGCACTACATATAACATGCATGCCGATTTGCTTATTTCACCAGACATCGCCCTTAAGATGCGTCATCTTTTTCGTTTGCTCATTGGCCATCGCTTAGTGTTACAGCCGCAAGGGCGAAGCCGCATGCGATGGAGACTGCAACACCGGATGTCGAGGTTGTCGTTGCTAGGACTTGGGAGCGCGCGCTTGCGTGTTTAAGACCATATTACGTAGTTTTCTTATCAGTAATCAGTTATGACAGGATGTTGAGCATATTAAGACGAACATGGGTTAGCCATGTTAATGGAAATTAGGAACCCCATTTCATCTACAATCTACCATCAGGGAGAACTCAACATCTCTGAAGAACACAGAAAAACACGGAACTAGAGTCTATGTGACAATTATTGGACTATCTGCAGGGATCACGGATGTTGTTGCGTCAATGAGGGTTCCTGTGCTGATCTGGGGCTAACTGCGCGGGTCAGAAGGCCTCCCATGTCGGGGATGGGAGCAATGTGGTATGCTATATCCTTTTAATGGCCCCCGGATCGACCAGGCGATCCCACCCCGTGTCGCCAGAAAGAAAGCCGGGAGACACTTCGCGATGGAACGGAATGTCCCTTCAACCCTTGACCGGAAACGGTAATGTACCCCTGATGTTCTTCTCAAGAAGCTCTTACCCGGAATGAAATAAGGAGTCTCATTATTGTTGAGTAGAGTGGGATTTCATAATTGTTGAATAGGATGGGTAGAAATCAGCTTAAAAACGAACAAGTTCATGCCATGCTTGCCTGAGAACGCTAACTTTTTTCAGAATGTACTTGTGAAGCAAAATACATCAAAATGCTTGAGCACACCCGCCCGCAACCTCGAGAGCAGGGATGGTCTGGGTTGCAGCTTACGTAAAACCAAAAAGTTTCGGCCACTGCAATTGCCACCAGACGGCGGGCGCCGTGTTAACCTGTCTTCTGGATAGACAAATGCTTGCAAAAACACGAAAAATAGAGATCCTTCCTTCACTCTTTCTGTTCAATCACCAGATTCCATGCCCACTTCCCGGTGCTTTAAGGGCAAATCCGTTCTTTTCATCAGTCAAAAACTTGCACACGTGAAATATGCGCTCAATACTTTTGCTACACTTTACAATATTTCAGAATACTTTTTCAGGAGCGCCATCATTTTCATGCAACCGTTGGCCATAGCTTAGTATCAGATACTCGGCCGACGTTGCGCAGCCTATGGAGGCTGCAACACTTGGTGTCGATGCTTGTGTTTCTAAGACTTTGGAGTGCGCATGCACAAAATGACGTCACAAAACTTGTATTGATAATCGTTTACAGTGTTAAAAGGTAATAATTTCAGAAGCGTCACCATTTTCGTCCACCGGTGGGCCACGGTTAAAAGTTAGCCACTGGGCTAAATATCCGCAGAAAATGAAGGCTGTAACGCCTGGTGGTGGGGTTTTTGTTGCTAAGATTTGCGGGCGCGCATGTTAAAAAAGCAT